TCCAAAGGCAATGAGGCCTTGCTGCGTTTTCAGTATCATTAGGAACTGAACAGCCGCTTTCTAGGATGTTTGTGTGGTTCGGTGCTCAGTGCTCAGATGCCCCTTGAAGCAGGCGATGCCACACCATCTGGGCAGAGTGTCACTGTCCGCCGCCCTCCAGCTCTCAGTTTCCGTGGGGCCTGTCTCAGGAGTTGAGTCCTGGGCACAGGCTTTGTGAGGCCGCCATCAGTCAAGGACCAACCCAGCCAGGCAGTGGAACAAGGGTCTTTCATGAGTAATTCTTGCCTCAGCACCACCCCTGGGCCTGTCAGAAACTCTGTCACATCTGCCTAGCAGTCTAGCAGCTGTCCCTGTCCAATTCCCCTTTTTTTTCTTCCTTTCATAGGTATTACTCATTAGTACACAATATTTGCTTGCCTAACTTCATCCCTGCATCCTTCAGACCCCTGCCTGAGGCAGTGTTTAAGTTCAGCTTATCCATTATCCTATTTGATAGTCAAATCTTGTTATCTCAGGTCCATGAAAGCCCTTCAATCTTGCCTTTTTTTTTTCTTTTTCCGTTTGAGCACCATACTAATCTTTCAGTTTCCTTGCTTTTCTTGCCACAGATCTGCAATCAGCCTTTTCCCTCAGGAAACTCATTTCCATTTATTGGGAAATGTTTGTAGAAACCACCATTTTTTCACTGATGGGCTCAAAACTATTTTGTTGATAATTGCACCTGGTCTTTTAGGTAGACAGAGCTAAGATGCACATTATTTAGAAAAAAGGGGAGAAAACACCTCCTCCCACCAGGGGAGCATCCTGTATCTGCCTGGAACTGTCTGGCCTGGGGCTGGTGCCCTGGAAGCCCATGGCTGTCATTCAGATGGCACAGGGCTTCCCCCAGGCCCCCTATCCTTAACCAGCACCATCCCCACCCTGCCCATGTACCTTTCAAACCTTCAAGAAACATTTCCTGATGCCTGAGCCGGAGGGCCACACTCAGACAGCCCAGCTCCCCTGGTGTGACCCTGAGGGTCCCTTCCCTTCCCAGAACACCCAGGACTTCCCTGGCCCCTCCCTGCCCAGGCCCCTCCTTGTCCTGCCATCCGGACGCCCCAGGGAGAATCATTGCCAAGTGGAGGCGCAAAGAAGGATCCGGGGTTTAATCGTGGTCCACGGGTTCCAGAAGCGAACAGACAGAGAAGTAGAGGCAAAAGCCAGGTCAGTACCTTAGCACGTTATGGACTGCACTCGGGGAGGGATCTGTCCCAGGAAAGTCTGCGCCCCGCAGGAGAGAGAGAAGCAGCAGGGCTGCCTACAGGGCAGCCTCGGGGTCCCCAGGGGTGCGGGCTCCTCGAGCTGTTGGCCGCCTTCCGTCCGATTCCTGGGGTGCAGCTGGGTGCTGGGCGCTGGTGCGGGGCTGGGGCTCAGCGCGGCGCCAGGAGCCCGGTCCCCCGTTCCCTCTGGGGCTGGCGCCTCCTGGCTGCTTCAGGGGCCACAGGGCTGTGCGGCCGGCGCCTGGGCCTCCCCTCAGGGGACTGTGGGTGCGGGAGGCGCGGGTCCGGCCGGGTTCCTGGCCCCTCTCAGCTCCGGGGCCCTCCGCGTCCCAGGGGCCAGGCTCGGGGAGCCAGAGCTGGGGTGGCAGGAGGGGCGGCTGCGCGCAGGGAAGGTGTCCATGGCCCCGGCCCAGGCCTGCGCGCGGTTCCGGCCCGGCGGCAGGGTGGGCTCCGGGCACACACACCGCCAACAGGACGGGTCTCCCCAGGCGGGTGGATGCACTTCCGTGGCTGCAGCCTCCCGGGCGGCGGAGAGGGAGGTGGGTGCAGGGGAGGAGGGCCTGCCTGGGGCAGGGGGAGAGGCGCCTCATACCATCCCCGCGGGAAAGGCCCGAGGAGAGCACGCCCAACTGGGCGGGAGGGACCCTCCTGTGCATTGTAAAGTGCATGGGCGCCAGATGGAATTAAGGGGTGTTTCCCACATTCTGGGGCGACCTGCAGATAATGTGGGGGGCTCCCTGAATGAATTAGGGGGAGGGGAGAAGGAGGCTCCCTGGGGAGAAAGGTCCTGCCATTTCTCTTCCCTGTAGAAGCCTCTGCTGGTCCCCACCCTCCAGGAACAGCTCCCTTCTCCCAGGTCTTCTCTCAGCCGGTGGGAGAGGCCCCTCTGGGAGTAGAGATGAGACTGGGAGGTTGGATCCTCAGGGATCACAGAGCTTTTTACCTCTGGGGCTGGATTGAGATTCCCAGTCCTCACTCAGGCACGTGAGGCAGGGGGGCAGTGAAGGCGTCGTGAGGGAGGAGTGGGTAAAGGGGAGTCCAAACATTACCTCTAATTGTGATATTTCCTCTACGTGAAAGGAAGACTTCAAACACGCTACGCTTTCCCTACCCAGAGGGAAAACACTTCCAGTTAATGCCACGTTTTTCCAGTGGTTTTTCTCCGCCCAAATCCCTGTTCTGTTTTATGTAATTATGTGCATTCTATTACTAGTGATGCCCCTTTCTCCGCTCTCTTCCTTGTCTTGCAATTCTTCCCATTAGGAACATTTTGATGTGTGTTTGTGTATCGGTTTTGTAATACATTCTTTTGTGGGCATGTATCTGAAATTCAGAGGAAGGGATCAATGCATGTACCTGATGTGTTCCTCATTCTCCACTCATTTGCAAGTTTCGAAGCTCGCCATAGGTACATTTGTATCTGTGGCTCCCAAGCGACCAAGAGTCCTCCCTGGAGCCAGCACCACCCACCACCGGCCCTGCCTCCTGGTTCCCCAAGACAAAACAGTTGCAGGCGGGAGGGAGAAAGGACTCACATTGTTTTTTGTCACCTTCCTGTGTAGCTGATGGGTCTCTGACTCTGAGGATAAAACTGCCTCCTAGTCATGGAGTAAACGCAGCGGTGTTACTGCCACATATCCTGTGCTGGGGAGGATGGAGCAGCGAGGGGACGGAACAGAATCGCAGGGGTCCTTGGGGGCCAGGGTCTTCTGGGCCACTGAGCTCGGATCCACTATTTGGGAGGTGCAGTGGTGGCTGTTGGAGAAGGAAAACGCTCCAAAGCAGTGGTTCTCAACCTTCCTAATGCCAGGACACTTTAATACAGTTCCTCATGTTGTGGTGACCCCCAACCTTAAAATTATTTTCGTTGCTACTTCATGACTGTAATTTTGCTACTGTTATGAATCATAATGTAAATATTTGATATGCAGGATGTATTTTCATTGTTACAAATTGAACATAATTAAAGCATAGTGGTGAATCACAAAAACAATATGTAATTATATATGTTTTCCGATGGTCTTAGGAGAACCCTGTGAAAGGGTCCTTCGACCCCCAAAGGGGTCGAGACCCACAGGTTAAGAACGGCTTCTCTAAACGGTCCCCACCCTCGAGGTCTCAGAGGCCACCTGCTTATCTTGGAGCCGGGTCACCCTGCAGCCCAGGGAGGTAAAGTGTGGGTTTCCACCATCTCAGCGCAGAAGCCGCAGGGAACAAATAGTTCTTCCCAGGGGCCTTGGCCTTGGTCCCCAAGAGCGCGCAGGTGTGGACTGAACGGCAGCCATGGTGGCAGGGCCCGTGCATCTCAGGTCTGCGGTCCAGGCCCAGCTCTCACCCCGGGGAGGGCTGTGCGCTCCTGTGGGTCCCACCAGGACACAGGGGATCCGCGTTTCAGAAGGCCCCCCCCCCCCGCCGGTGCATTGTTGTGCTCCTCTGGTCATGGGGTGGGGGGCTAACCGGATAGGGGGAAGTGGGGTGGTGACATTAATCCTGGGAGAAAATGGAATCACCCACTCATTTTGGGTTAAATGATCCAGAGTCAAACTCTCTGCGGGACAGGTGGAATTAGGGCTGGACACTGGTTGGTAGAAAGCCCCCAAGCATCCTGCTAGTGTTGGGCAAGGGGATCACAACCAGGTCTGCAAGCAGAGAGAGGCATGGGGTGGGCTGGGAGGCCTGGGCTGGGAAGTTTTCTTTCTCTCAATGGACTCTTTTCCCTCAGCACATCGTATCCACAGTGTATTCCACTGCAATACAGCCTTTGTCTGGGTCAAATAGCCGGTTGAGGCAGGTATGTCTGGACATCAATGGCATGTTTATCTTCCTGTCCTCAAGTTCACTCATCCCCAACCCTTAGGAAGCAGTTTCTCATCCTTCCATGTTCCAGGGGCTGTGATGGGTGCCTTACACACAGAGATGGAGAACTGGCTACAGGTTTCAGACCTTCCATCCCAGTGAGAGAATAAACACAGTAGACCATTCAGAAGACAGCCAGCTCTGTGAGCACTGCGGTAGCTGATTTGGGGATCAGAAAGGAACATTCTAAACCTGATGCCTCTCTTCAAAGTCACATTTTGTTTGCTTAACTGCGGGGCTGAAGGGGGATCGCAATAGATGTAATAAATAAATAACAACAGAAGAGAAAAACAACTTAATAGATAGTGAAGGTGGCAGATGATTGACAGCTCAAGCTAGTCGCAGGGTTTCAGGGAGCTACTTGGGACAGTGCGCTGAGCTGAGGGCTGGGACACGGAGCCTGAGAATGCGCATGAAGGAGTGCTGCGGGAGGGTAGGAGAGTGAGGCCAAAGCAGAATTGTCAGAGCCCCGTCTGCACAGCAGCCTGACAGCTTCACTGTCCAATTCTCCTTTTTCCTTTTTCCTTTCAGAGGTGTTACTCTTTAATGAAAAAAGAAATTGCCTGCTTAACTTCATTCCTGCATCCTCTAGAACCCCTTTGGAGACAGTTGTTTAAGTTTAGTTGTACTGCCCTGGCCAGTGTCACTCAGTGATTAGAGCATTGGCCCAGGCACTGAAGGGTCCAGGGTTCAGTTCCCAGGGTGGGCATGGCTGGGAGGCAACCAGTGACCGCTTCTCTCTCACTTAGATGTTCCTATCTCTATCAATATCTGTACCTCTATCTCTATCTCTATCTTTCTATCTCTTTTCTGCCCTCTGCCCCTCTCTTCTACTCTCTCTGAAAAGCAATGAAAAACAATATATACTCAGGTGAGAATAACAAAAAAAAAAAACAGTTTAGTTGTTCTTTTTTAAATATTTTCTATTTAATTACGTGTGTTTATGCTGCATTAAACATTTCTATATATTGAAAGCAGCTCTACATATCTTTAAATATTCACCAAACATGTAATTAATAGCTGGGTATAAAAAAAGCAATTTCCAGTAGTGAGGCTATTCTCACAGTAGCAAATAATCTAACTTATTTAATACTAACAACTAAGTCTTTAAAACACTATTACGGTAAACACTGCAGTTTGCTGAAATCACAGAGGGAAAAAAGATAATTATATCAACTGCCATTGAAAGCTCGAAAGGAGTTTTTTAAAAAAATATACAGACTAACAGGGTTAAGCCCCAGTAAGGTTTCTGCTTTTATTTGATTTTTTTTTCGAGTTTGTATGCATTTTGTTTCTAAACCAAGTATTATGCTTTAAAACATAAAATACTGATGCTTTCTAAAGAGACACAAACTAAAATCATGCTTATGACCTGGTTTACTCGTAACATTTCTGCTGTGTGGCATTAGTGAACTATATCCAGCTCTGAGCAGCACTGAGTTCTAAAGACAGTCAACATCCTGAGTGTGTGACGAGCTCCTATTTGAAATGTCTTCCAGTTACTGGCCCTGTGTGACCAATGCCACAAGAAAATGCGACAGGACTTGTCTTCCATATTTTCTAAAAGTGAATATAACCATTGTGTTAACTGTACGCTCCAAATGTTCATTAAAAACCCAAACCAAACCTTTTTTACCTTTAGTAATCATGAGGAATATTTATGTAAAACATTGTACATTATGTGCATGACCTGTTCATACTCTTTTATAAAAGAGAATATTGGCTTAAACTAATCGATAGGGTTGCATCAATCTTCTTTCTGTGGGTCCTTAGATTTCCTTAAATGATGGCATCATGTTCATCAATGGTTCTATACTGAATGCCTCTTCTTGAATAATACATTCGGCATCCAACGTAAAGAATGGATAACATTCCCAGTGTTAATGCAATACCACCGACAAAGCTGCCAATATCAAAGTTTGATCCTTTGTTTTCTTTAGAATTTATAGTTGCTGTGATTGTTACTGATGAAGAAACAGATGTCACTGAACTGTTGTGGGTTGTGGCCATCGTGGATGTTGACATCTGGGATGTGTGTTGTGAAACACTTGTTATTTGGGGTGTAGACTTTAAGGTGGTGGAAGACATATTTGCTGAGACCCCTTGTGTTGTCATCTGAGAAGTTGCTGTGGGTTTCAAGGTGACGGCTGTCACACTTTTTGAAGAAACTGGAGCTGATGGCTTTGCTGAGGATTTCGCAGCGGTGTTTGTCACTGGGGAAACTGGATTTGTAGAGGGTTCCACAGTGCTGTGGGAAGATTCACTTTTATTGACGGAAGACACGAATGTGGTATTCCTGCTGGCTCCGTAGTAGAGGTACGGGGGAATGTGGAAGGTTGTCTGCTTGAAGAGCCCGCCAGGTCTTTGCTGTCCACAACCGCCTTCAGCAGCGCAAGCACCAGCAGCGTCCCCGCGATGAACATGGCCCAGCCCCCACCCCCCCCCCCCGCCCCCGCGCGCGCACGCGGAGCCCCATTGTTCTCCGGGCGGGACACGACGGCCTCGAGGGTCCCCAGCAGAGGTGGCCGCGGCGCTAGCGAGAAAGGCCCTCTGCACGCGAGCCCGTCCTCGTCCTCTTCCACCGCGCACGCCTCCCTCCCGCCATCTGCCCCCCAAAAGCTAGTTGTTCTTATTATTCTATTTGATAGTCAAATTTTGTTGCTTTTGAGTTCCATGAAAGCCCTTTAATCTCACTCCCCTCTCCCCCGCCCCCAGTTTCCTGTTTTCTGGTATAATAAACTACCTCAGGCACAAATTTTATTTTTCTTTCCCTCGATCTGCAATCAGTCTTTTTTCCAGGAAACTTAGTGCCATTTATTGGGAAATGTAGAAACCACCCTTTTTTCAATGATATGCTCAAAATTATTTTGTTGATAATTGTACCCCGTCCTTTTAAGTAGACACATCTAAGATATACAATTTTTTTTTCACAGAAAAAACACCCCTAAATCATAAATTTATAATAACGGTCACATTTAGATGTTACAGATAGTTTTGAGCATCCTGAGAACCCAGGAGATACACTACAGGGAGATTATTTTAGAAGCTTCCAGGTAAGTCCATGCTTCAGTATAAGCTTCCATTTAAGAGCTCGGTTTCTGATATTCTATGAAGGAAAATTTGCCTCTAAATTTTACGCTGGGATGTCACTGGAATAACTGTTTAGGAAAGAATCACAACTAATTGACGTTTTAGGTTTTGGTGCGCACGGTAAGAAATGTGTACAAATCTATCTGTGTACTTATCCTCAAAGCAGCCAATAAAATCTCAATTATGAAAAAACTATGTAGAACTAAAATTAAACAATGGAACAACAGTTCCCCAAAGTAGCTAGAAATAATGACCAAGTGCACTATCAGAAATATGATTAGGAAGACAGTCTCTAGGAAGAAGTAACACTTTGGAGGGATAATACACGGGAAAAACTGACAGATGACAACTGGGAGAAAATAATTTCAAAGTCTAACGTTCACAGGTAATTAATAGCTATGCAGACAGCACATATAATCTCTACAAATCAAAATGATAAAGCAGGAAATGCAAAGGAGAATGCTCAGGGATATGAGTAGGTAATTCACAGAGGAATAGCACAATACAGGTAAACCTTGCTTTTTGAAAGCTTGCAGTATGCCACTGTTTGATTTTTTAAAATTTTATTTATTTATTTATTTTAGCTGTTAGCGAGGCAGCAGTGAGCAGTGAGAGTCCTCACCAAGCCTTTCTCAGGACTTACACTCAGCATCTCAGTATCAAGCTACCATGGCTGTGAGCTGTGTCTGTGAGCTTCTGTGCGCATCTGTGAGCAAGATGTGTCCTAAGGTACCTAAGATGCCTATGAAAGCTTGTGGAGGGTGAAACTTAGAGTAAAATTTGATGTAATTGAGCATTTCCATCCTGGTGAATAAAATAAAGACATTGTGCATGCATTGAACAAGCAGAGGGGAAGAATCCAAAAAGCTGCTGAAGTTACTATTGGGTTCTGCTAAATCGTCTCTTTTAGTCAGCATTCGGTAATAGATAAAGAGAAAAGTCTATTGCCCTAACCAGTTTGGCTCAGTGGATAGAGCGTCGGCCTGCGGACTGAAGGGTCCCAGGTTCGATTCCAGTCAAGGGCATGTACCTTGGTTGCGGGCACATCCCCAGTAGGGAGGTGTGCAGGAGGCAGCTGATCGATGTTTCTCTCTCATTGATGTTTCTAACTCTTTATCCCTGTCTCTTCCTCTCTGTAAAAAATCAATAAAATATATTTTTAAAAAGGAGAAATCAAGTCAGTCTTTTTAGAAGTGAAATACCCTGCACACACATTATTTCTACTTTATACAGTCTGTAATGTGTATGATAGTGACAAGAAAAAGAATTTGAAGTGCCCTAAATAAAATTACAGCAGGCCAGCCAGGCCAGCATTGCTCAGTGGTTGAGCACTGACCTATGAACCGGGAGGTTATGATTTGATTCCTGGTCAGGGCACATGCCCAAGTTGCAGGCTCCATCCCCAGTTGGTTGCATACAGGAGGCAGTTGATCAATGATTCTCTCTCATCGTTTATGTTTCCAGCTTTCCCTCTCCTTCCCTCTCTGAAATATATATATATTAAAAGAGTCCCTGGTCCATTGGCAAGTGGCCAGATCCCCAGCAGCATCCCCTCTGGGGTGTAAATAAATAAATAAATTACAGCAGGCCAGAGGATGGAAGGAAGAGACAGGAGAAGCTAACCAGTTAACAACTGCAGAGGAAAACCAGGAAAACACTGCTTACATTCCTGAGTGTATGTAGAAACTGAGTTAACTTCTAGGTGCCTAGTTCTGTGACTACCTAAAGAAAAGGCCAGGTGCCTCTCTCCTTGCTTACCCATGACCTCTCCACACTGCTGCCCACCAGCAACCCAAAGGACCAAATACTGCCTTAGGGATTAAGGAGCTACCTCAGAACTAGCCCACTTCACCACCCACCCCCTTCATCTACAGCCAGCGTAAATTCTCCAGAACAGTGTTCATCTTTCTTCCCCGAACGGTTTCCATAAAAGAGCCCGTCAACGCCAGGACAGAGGGTTTGTTCCTCTTTTCCACGCGGACGTGCCTCATCCCCGGGACCTGGGCCTTGTCTGGCTGGCATTTGGTTCAGTAAATCCTTTCTTTCAGAAAAGCTCCCAGCTGTTCCACAATATCATTCTGCTTGTACTATATGTTAGTATTATTTTAGGTTTTATACGTTATTTGCTATAATTTGGTAGGCTATTATGGCTCAAACATTTTCCAGATAAATTGATGATAACTGCTTCTTCGTTTTATGCCATTTCAGTTTTTAAAAGTTGCATAGGAACACTGTGCTTTCAGATTGTGGGGAAATCTGTAATACAAATTGGCTAAAGAGTGTATAAAGAGAGGCTCAAAATCATTACAGGTAAACACATGCTAAAGCTATAAAACTGTTCACAGATGGATTGATTCAATATTTGACTGTTACCATTTTCGCTTGTTTGAAGACTTTTTGCTTCTCTTTCTATATTCCTTGACCATTGTTTTCCTGATTGCCTTCACTTGTCTTTCTGTGTCTTCTGGTAGCTCACTGAGCTGTCCTAAAATAGCAATTTTGAACTCTTTATTGGGTAACTCACAGATCTGCATGGCTTTGGTGTTGGTTACTGGAAGATTATTGTGACCCATGGTAGTCACGTTTCCTTAATTATTCATGTCCCCAGAAGATTTACATCTCTGTCTTTGCATTTGAAACAGCAGTCACCTCTTCCAGTCCTCCCTGACTTTGGGAAGGAAACCAGAGCTCCTGAGGTTATGGCTGGCCTGTGAGTACACCTGCCCCACGCTTCTTGCGCCCTCTTGTGGCAGAAGTCTTGAGCTTGTATGCTTTCTCTGGATCCTGCGACGGACCAGGGTCTAGCACTGTCAGCCTCTCTTTAGTTTTCCCAAAGGTGGCGCTGAAGTTCAAGTTTGGTTTTTCTCTGGCTTGCAGAGTCCAGCCAGCTTTCTGCCTAAGTTCAAGGTCTGAGAAGTGCCTCATTGTGGGCGTCCCCACAGGTGGGAACGCAAAGCTCAGGCACACATGCTCACGCCCCTCTCATCTCCTCCCCACCCCCCAAGAGAAATAACCAGCTGCTGCTAATATCTCTCTGACTTGAAGCTGTGCTGCCTTGCGGTCAGAGGTCTTGCAGGTAAAGTAAAACTGCTTTCTTCCTCTCTCCAATGCATCCAAACTCTCTTTTCCCAAACTGTGTCCACAGGTTCCAGTGTGCTGGAACTTCTCCTCTGGAGACCTGGACCTGCACAAAGGCTCTTTTTGTCCACTGGCCATTGTCCGAGAGTGTTATTTACGGGCTGCAAGACCACCGGCAAGAGGGCTTGAGCTGGCTCATTGGCCACTGGGGGACCTACAGCAGGTCTGTAAGCCTATTACCTGACACAGGTGGGTGCTGGATTCCATGGCCCCCACAAAGCACTTTTGCCTGTGTATGAACACCGAGTCAATGTTGCCGAAGGGCAGACAACAAACATCTTATTCCACCATGATGCTCGCGTCACTTCTCTGAAAACTGATTTGGGGCCAGTCTGCCTAGCAGTGTTGCTGGACAGGGGAAAGAGAAGAATAGAGGGCAAGTCTTTACAAGGTTGGGCAGAATAATTCAAGGGCCTGAGATGACTTCTGCAGGCATGGCCACGCTGACCATTCAGCCACAGGAGGTATGAAGAAAGGGATGAAGATTATCCAATATAATAAAAGGCCAGCCACCATAAATGGAACAACCAGAACGACCAGTGACCAGAACCACCACCGCCCCTCGCCCAAGCAAGCAGTTAGGGGCGATCAGGCAAGCAGGCAGAATGGTTAGGGACGATAGGTGGGCATGCAGAGTGGTTAGGGGTGATCAGGTAGGCAGGCAAGTGGTTAGGGGTGATCGGGTAGTCAGACCAGCAGTTAGGGGTGATCAGGTAGGCAAACGGCCCCTTCGCAGGGCTAGCCCCGCCCCCCAGCAAAGAAAGAGGGAGGCCCAGGCCACCAGCAATGACTCTGTGGCAGGTGAGTGGCCAGCCAGTGATCACCCCGCAGAGGGAGGCCCAGGCCAGCCAAGCCATCGCACGCCTGTCGCCTGCAGAGGGAGGCCACCAGTGGCAGGGGAGCGGGGGCAGTGCTACACAGATGGCAAGCAGTGGCAGTAGCGGGGGTGGGGCCAGCTGCCTCCAGCCGGGGGAAGGAAAGCCCCGATAGGCCCTGATCTCAGGCCAGGCCTAGGGACCCTACCCCAGGGGTCCTGGATTGTGAGAGGGTGCAGGCTGGGCTGAGGGACCCCTCCCCACCACCAACTGTACAAATTTTCATGCATTAGGCTTCTAGCTTTTATATAATGTCTCAGGTTTTTAGTTGTGCTTAGTGGGAGAAGTAGGAAAAAGTACACTGGCTCCATCTTCCTAGAAGTGGTAGTCTTGCATTCATTTTGCTTTTTTAAAAAAGTTGTATAAAAATATTATTTATTTTGATTCTGAGTTTTGGTCTCCTTATATTTGTCACCCCAGGCAATACCTCCTTCCCCTCACCCTAGTTCTGGCCCTGTTTGGAAGTCCTCCGAGAGTCTGGAATAATTTTTAAAATCAATCCAAAATAAGGCAAGAAAGGAGAGAGAGCTAACACAGAACAGAAAGACAAGCAGAAAACATAATAAATTTAATCCCAAATATATTACATAACATTAAACATAATAGACTGGGGTGCTCTAATATTAAGAGGTCAAGGAAAAAAGGAAGATCCACAGAGATATCAAGGAGGGTCTGGCGAATTCCATGTTTTCAATAGAAATAAAAAAATAGAGCCTGGCCAGTGTGATGCAGTAGTTGAGAGTCTACCTATGAACCAAGAGGTCACCGGTTTGATTCCTGGTCAGAGCACATGTCCAGGTTGTGGACTAGATCCCCAGGAGGGGGCCTGCAGGAAGCAGCTGATCGATGTTTCTATCTCTCTATCCCTCTCCCTTCCTCTCTCTCTAAAAAGATTAATAAAAACATATAAAAAAAAATAGAAGCAGCAGCCATACTTGGATCTTAATGCGGGAGTTGGGGGCTGGATTACAAAGAGGGTATAGAGGAAATAAATGGTGATGGGAAAAATAAATAAAAAATAAACATTCAAAATTATTCTGTAAGAAAAAAAAAAAAGATCCTTTCACAATAACAACATTCTGGAGTTTCTCCAACTTCCAGGAGAACAGTAACCTTTCCACACCCGGATGTTATCATATTTCATATTGTTGTTGTGCCAAGATGGGACAAGAGCTGCTGAACTTGAACACTCAAGATTCAGCCGCTGTTTAGGACCACAGTGCCGAAAAGGAAACTTCTGGACCTGGTGTCACCCTTGCTTAGCTTGCTATCCTCAGGGACTTTTGCTCCCTGGCCACTGTCCTGCCTTCTTCCCCAGCTCCACAAGATGATTGGGTGAGCCCCTCATTTGGAGTTTCCAAGCCAGCCCTCCATGACTGCTCTATGAGCCACCATCCACAAGCTGGGCAGCAACTAACTCCTCTCAAGTACATATGACCACATACTACCGTCCTGAGTCCAGCACGCTGCCTGAAGGGAGAAAAGGAGGAAATAATAGCCAAGGAGGGCTCCAGGGCATGTCCAGCACATCCCGATTGGCCAGAACCCAGCAGCAAGCTAACCTACCGGTCAGAGCATCTGTCCCCTGGTGGTCAGTGCACATCATAGCGACTGGTCAACTGGTCAATTGTCTGCCCCCTGGTGGTCAGTGCACATCATAGCGAGTGGTTGAGCAGCCTTAGCATATCATTAGCATATCATGCTTTGATGGGTTGAATGGCTGACTGGACACTTAGCATATTAGGCTTTTATTATATAGGCTGTCACCCCAATAAATTTAATTTTTTAAAAATCCACACCAAAGAGAACTGTGTTGAACGCTACATTCTTAGATCATCTGTCCTTGTAGGCACTTGATTACTGAATGTCTCTGGAGGAAAACACAATATCCAGCAGACGGCTATCATATAAATTCTTGGTCACCAATGTTTACAGATGCTGTTGATGCTACTGTGATATTACTGCAGTGATGGCGAACCTATGACACGCGTGTCAGAGGTGACATGTGAACTCGTTTTTTTGGTCGATTTTTCTTTGTTAAATGGCATTTAAATATCCTGTACTAATAAAAGACAAACATGCAAATTGACCATACTTTCGCTACACCTTAAGCCATGCCCACCAGCCAATCAGTGTGACTATATGCAAATTAACCCAACCAAGATGGCGGCCGGCAGCCACGGAGCTGGAGCAAGCAGGAGGCTTGCTTGCTCTAGTGATGGAGGAAGCCAAGGTTCTCCGCCTGCCACGGCCCGGCTCTGAGCTACACTGAAAGGAACAAAGTTTCAATTATAGAAGGTAAATAAACCCCAGATACCTGCTTTCAGCCAGCCGTGGCAACGGAGCTGGAGCGAGCAGGAGTGGGTTGTCCCTGGCGATGGAGGAAGCCAAGCTTTCTGCAGGCCTCTGCTAAAGGCAACAAAGTTTCAATTATAGAAGGTAAATAAATCCCAGAATAAAAAAAAGAAAAAAGAAAAAAAGGAGAGGCTGGGAGCTTACGTTGCCAGGGTGGTTGGCCAGCCTGAAAACGGCCCTCAGCCCCTCACCCAGACTGGCCAGGCACCCCAGTGGGGACCCCCTCCCATGCTAAAGGGGGTGTGGCCAGCCTGAAAACAGCCATCAGCCCCTCACCCAGGCTGGCCAAACCTCCATGGGGTCAGGGTCCTCACTGGGGTGAACATCCTCCGAGGGGTCCCACACTGCAAGAGGGCATAGGCCGGGCTGAGGGATCCCTCCCCCCCCCCCCCCGCCCCCAAGTGCACAGATTTTTGTGCACTGGGCCTCTAGTATAAAATAAATATCAAAAATATAAGTCTTTGTTTTACTGTGGTTGCAAATATCAAAAAATTTCTCTATGTGACACAGCGCCAGAGTTAAGTTAGGGTTTTTCAAAATGCTGACATGCCGAGCTCAAAAGGTTCGCCATCACTGTATTACTATGTCCAAGATCCATTTCAAATCTTTTCCATTCTGTTCTGTGGTAGGAAGCTCCTAAGATTGATCCCAATGATCATGCCTCCTAGGATTTGTGCCCTGGACTGTGGGCTATACCTGATGACTTGCTTCTAACAAGTAGGATACAGGAAATGTGATGGAACAGCACTTCTGAGATCATGTTCCAAAAAGACTTTGGCTTTTGTCGTGCTCACTCTCTTTTGCTCTTTCTTTCTTTTTCTTTTTTTTAAATATATTTTATTGATGTTTTACAGAGAGGAAGGGAGATAGAGAGTTAGAAACATCGATGAGAGAGAAACATCGATCAGCTGCCTCCTGCACATCCCCCACTGGGGATGTGTCCGCAACCAAGGTACATGCCCTTGACCGGAATCGAACCCGGGACCCTTCAGTCCACAGGCCGACGCTCTATCTACTGAGCCAAACCGGTTTCGGCCTTTTGCTCTTTCTAATGGAATATGCCGGGGTCCAACCCCAGCGGGTCCAGGGGTTCCCAAAGGCGTAGACGGAGTCGGCGAAGAAGGAAGGACACGGAGACGGAGTTCAGTTGATCAGCAGCCTAGCCAGGATCTCTAGCCAGGATCTCCAGCCAAGTTCTGGTCTGGATCTCCAGAGAGGTTCTGCTTCGGATCTCCAGCCAGGTTCTGTGTCCATGTTCTCTTGCTAGGTTCCCCAGCCAGGTTCTGTCCAGGTTCTCCAGCCAGGTTCAGTCACCAGATTCTAGTCAGGTTCTCTTGCCAATTTCTGTAGTCAGGTTCAGTCCAGGATCTTTTGCCATGTTCTCTCGCTAGGTTCTGTCTCTAGGTTCTGAGGCCAGTTTCTGTCCAATATCTTTTGCCATGTTCTCTCCAGTGAAGTTCTTCTGTCTCTAGAGAACGTTCTGTGTAGGTTCTGTGCCTAGGTTCTGTCTCTCTTAGTTCCGTATTCTAAGTTCTGTCTCTAGCTGTCTTATTACAT